ATTTTATTTGTTCCGATTAACAGTTTGTCACAGAAACACTAAGAATTCATGTTCCTGTGTAAAATTTGGCAGCCGAGTTAGTTTTGGGGGCTGTTATGAACCAAACCGCATTTCAAGCTTAAACACATCTGATGTATATCATATGTGGCAATAAAATTACATGCAATTTACGTAATTTAAAAAAATTAGGTTCGTGCTACACCTTTTATAATGTGTTTTCTGCCAGGCTAAAAGTTTTTCAAGCACACTGCTAGCCAATCTGATGTTAGTGTAAAGTTGGGCAACGTGGTAGAATGCAATTCCCTATAAGGCAAATTTATTTGATATAGCATGCAAGGATGAGGTGTTAATAACTGGATGATGTTTCGAGCAGAATTTATTTCCTATAATCATATGCATTTAGTCAAACATCTCTGTGATTTTCTTTATATATTTTTTCTCTCCCTCTCCCTTATTATTTGTTGTAATTCTCTGTATCTCTGGTATAGGCGTTGCACCATTGTGGTCTCACATGTTTCGTGTTGATTCGACAAACAAAGATTCAGTGATTAGCCTTACCATCCGTCACTTAATTATATGCTCTCATCCCGTCTCACCCTATTGTGTGGTTATATACAACTGAATGCGATACAGTGAAGGAGCTTTTTCCTAGGTTATTTAACTTCGTGTGGTCAGTCATTCTAGGTTTAGCCAAATTCATATGTACCGATAATCTAATTGAACCCAATCCACTAGTCTGACTAATGTGATTAACCTCCCTGTCATTACATGGTATTTGGTATATTATATCATTTTACTTAATTAGATCTGTTAGGTCCTTAAACCGACAAAGTTTGTCCCTGAAAGAAGCGGTTGGTTTGAATGCCAGCATAATTCGGCCTTCACTAAGTACCCTATGTAAGACCTCTGGTGTTCCTTCTTTATATGTCAATATTACAGAAGCTCTGAATTCCATATTATTTATGTCACTTTTATCATTTTTTTCTACGGTTTTTCATGCATTTCTTAATAAGTTGGAGTATTTCGTCATGCGTTACGTCGGTTAGGTAGCCATTGGAAAATCAGGGAGTAGTGAGCAGCTGCCTCGTTCTCGTTTGGGACTCTTCATCAGTGCGCAACCACCATGGTTTGAACCAGGTGTCAGCTCATGATGAAATCCTCCAATCAATCAAACAAAGTCCCTACAAACCAATACGTGAAAATCTCTTAATAAGTTTGATCACGGATTGATATTAGTTAGAGAGCCATTGAAAACCAGAGAGTACTGGGCAGCTGTTTTCTCCCAGTTTCGGACTCAGTGGTACCACTGACCCAGTGCAGTTTGAACCCAGGACCCCTCGGTTGTAGGATAGGCTCTTATACCATTCAGCCAATGAGACCCGACTCAGTGGCCCATGAATTCTAACTCCTACCAATTCTTGATTTTTGCGCGATTGCCACCATTTCCAAATAAATTCTGGTGGGTAATTATTCACCATTAATATTTTCTTTATTTGTTTCATTTCATTATTTAAATCGCTTGAATTACTGAGTAGGCTCCTGGCCCAATTATATAGACATTTAGCCAAATATACTTTTGCCTATTCTGGATGGGATGAGTTAAAGTTTAAGTATTTATTAAAATTCATCAATTTCTTTGAATGCCAGTATCTGACCAACCGTCTTGTTTTGCTTTATTTTATTGTCTAGCGTGGCTAACTCAACTTTTTCATTCTCTAACTAAAATGTGAATTGTACTCCGTTTACTATTGAGTCTATATGTGCGAAGAACCGAGGGATATATTCAGATTTCAACTTAGTTAATGTGTCATGCACATACTTCCAGAGTAACCTAGGGACAGGATTAAACATTTTAAGAGCTTTATGTTCCCAACTTTCCATAAAAATGTCTACCTCTATTGTGGATATTGATGATCCTATTGCCACCACATTCGTTTTTATCGTTTACTTCGAAGTTTAAATACATTGGAGGTTAGACATTACTGAACACCTAATATGGTTGCATCAGCCGACAGTTTAGTCTTCTTTTCTAGTTCAGGATCAATTTCCATTTCATTTCGCACTGCCTTCAAGGCTGTATTAATTGGGATATTAGAGAATTTTAATAACTGTTTCACCCTTATTAAGATAATATCATAATGTTTAAGCACGGATAACTAAAACGGTTAATTTCAATGTCTTTTGATGCTTTGCTGTTAACTGTGGAACACTGAGAAATTACTGGAGTAAGACATCGATATTCATGAAGTCTATCTGCTCAAGATAACTGATAAAATTTATCTCTTACAACTTCATCACAAAAGAAGAATATTACTATTCTGCTGAATCTATTCATGATCAAATAAACCTTTGAATATCAAAAGCGGGTTTTATTGCTGATGCCCGAACGCAATTTTTATTATCCTTAAAATTCAAGCACCTTGAACTATATTATAAAGTTTCATCGAGCTACTTCAATTACGACGCTCAGTGATATATTGAATGTAACTAATTTTAAGACGGGTGATTTCCTACTTCGTTAGTTAGTAACTATCTTTATGAATATCATGTTCAGTGTTTTATTTCCATATCACTTTCGTCCGAAATCGTATTTTTTGCAGTTTCATATTTAGTAATATTAATTATTAATACAAGGCCATTCAACTCTTATGCTGCTCAATTAGGGAAAATAATTGTCTCTGTAAGAATATAGTTATATTATTTCCAAAGCACTTATTATTATCTACTTTACAGACATTGTCACCCACGTAAGATATAAGTGCTATTAATAATATTTATTCAAGATTTGAAGTCTTCGTATAACTATGTTAAACAAACGTGAGAAGACACATACTATTTCATCTTATTTACTTTAAAAAAACTTTATTCAAAACAGTCGATAAATCGGGAATTCAGCTTCATTTCTATTGGGGACTTTCAAGGCGGTGTATGTTTCACATCAAAATAGTAATCAATAGAAAGAAATTTCAATAAAGTCACTTCTGTCACTTACCTAGATATTATTGTTTACATGTAAGATGCCACAATTCAATATAAAAAGCCAAAATCTGAAAACCAACACAGACCTCCATTACTCTGAAATCGGTGTGGAAATCTGTGCATAAAGAGCAAGATTCGGATTTTCAGCAGTAATGTCAAGTCAGTTAGTGCTTCAGTATGGTTCAGGCACTTAGCGGCCAGCTTGAATTACTAGGCTACATGAATTTTCATCGAACACCATGTATAAATGTTTCCCTGTTTCTTATTGACTTATGTCCGTGGGTCGCAAAAAAATAAGGAATTGAAAGCTAATTAAATGCTCAGAAACCTAGTTCAAATTTCATTGTCCCCATCCACAGACTTTTGAACAAACATACCATAAAATATTTAGTGGTGAAAGACATGCTTTATTCATTTGTAAATATGATAATCTTAGCGATCGTTTCTAAATATTTTCCAGAAATTTGGCGTTAAGATAAGTGATACTTTCTTAAGCTCCTATGAGAAACAGTAGGTATTGTCTAACATTTCCACACTTCTTCAACTCTATTTGTTCAGAATGTTCAGACGTGAACTTGAAAACAGGTGTTTCAGCTAGATCTCTCTTCTCATATTCACCAGCTTCATACCAGTCAGTATCACTTTGCCTTGAAAGACTTCAAATACGAAGAGCATGTATGCAATAGAAGAAGACAAGAGATTCGGTAAAGGGCTTCCTTATTAGGGAAAAACACACCATATTTTTACATTATAGCCACATTAAAGTTCGGCCGGGTTGGCGATTTGCCGAAGGTTAAACCTCGAGGTTGAGAGCTGTTCAGTGAAAACTTTTCCCGGCCGCAACGTAAAATCAATCCAGACTTGTTGTGCAAACAATTTTCGATTATAAAGACAAAGTGTTTTGACTATTTTTCCTTAGCATTATGTCTGCTGACGATGATTCTCCAAAAATGCCCATAAACATAACTTACGTTGCATGTCTGTAAACAGAGATAGGGACAAATAAATTTTATGATCACTCATCGAAATTACATCAAGTAATCTTTTATTGTATATGGGAACGTGAATTCTATAGTCTCAATCGGAACGACTACTGCACGCTACAGATACCACTGAAAATATATTAACCCTCCTATTCAAAGCTAACAAAAACAGTGAACAGATACATAGACAGGATAAAAGGATAATCAATTGTTGACATCATAAACAAGGGAAACAGAGACATAAAATATGGCCATGAATATATTTTTGTTCCCCCAGAAAGATTAAAACTGTACATTAGTACTCAGGTGAGACAGGTAGTAAATCATAGTGTCAATTCCACGATAACTTCCGACGAAATGACAAGTATCATTATATAAACGAATTTGTTTTGCTAATAAGCTGTAACCGACAAGGTATCACAGACACCACTGATGCACAAAAAGAACAACAGCTATTTAGTCTCAGGTAAGATTGCTTTGAGTATTCGTGTTAACATTCCTGGCATTGTAGAAACGAAATACAATACAATATCTAAACACTAATACTGGCTTAGGTAAAAAAATCCTATTGGATATTGAAATTTAGCTATGTTCTATTGATGAAATAAATGTCAAAAAGTATAGAAGATCTTGTTATGAAATCATCTTATTGTCTCACGTTTCAGACCTTGCTGTATCTACTATGAATCTTTTAAGATTGATCCAGAATTTATGAATAGAAAAGGACTTATACTATCATTGACTTGCTGTTGAAGCTTGTAGGTGAAATATTTGAACTAGCAATAAATCCCCAAATTTACATTATTTCTTAGCATAATATGACTGAAGGCGTTACCTAAACTTATGGAAATATTTTTACTAGCAGATGGATCTGAAAACTAGATACTCAAACTAAATTACTTCAATAAAAGACCATGAATTATGTTCTAATCTCCGCATATGTTTGAAGCAAATTTTCCACCAATAAAATTCACTCGAAATGTTTGTTACATACTAGTGGTAGTTTTAACCAATACGAAATTAGCTCTCTATCACCAAATTAAAAGTTGAATCTATAAATTAGAAGCTTAACGTAAATCAAGTGTAAAATATCATCAGACATGAAATCACCAAATAGTGATGAATATTATTTAACAAGGAAGCAAAGTAGTTCACATAACTAGGGATAGGAAACAAATGTATTTAAAAGCTATAAGTAAACATTAAATGCACAAGACATGTTTGATGGAAATAATTGTTATCATTTTCATGGAATTCACTTCTGCTCAACTTCAGGACCATATAATTCTGTGGGATGGCAGTAACTGGAGGTAAGCGTAGATAAACAGTATTCATATGTATCGATTCATACGTATTTAGAAATGCCTTTAATATATGTAGAACAAAGCATAAAAACGAGGAATTAAGGTAATAATTAACAAATGAAACAGTAAATTTCCTGCTATTAGAGTGTGACAGCTATGAGCACTGACAGCATAGCATGTTTCCGTGCACATTAATGTCATGCTAACTAACAAGCAAACTCTACCGATAGCTAAAACTTGCAATTAAAATACCTTTCCTGATATAATAAGCAGGGTAAAACAAATCATTGTTAGCATATACCGTTCAAATAATCATGTTATCACCTCTCTCATTGCATTGGTAAATCAGGAAATATTAAAGTGAAACTATCTGACTTTTCTCAATGAAAGATAAAACATCATCCATATAAATTCATGTTGTCTGTTTTGATTGCATTAAAGAAATACACTACGTCCGATTTCACAACTTAACAATGTCAGTATGCTATTTATTATCAAGCAAACCTGAAATAAGTCAACACTCATTAAACATTTTGTCAATTAGACGCACCTTGTGGTGGCGTATTTGTAAGCCGAAAATCAAGAAGATATCATTACTACAACTTTTGGCAACAAACAACCTATTGCCAAATACAAGTAGCTTAGAAATCCCTAATGACGGGCGTTTGGAGAACAGTTGCGATATTTTCAGCGATATCTGTCTCAAGCTGTACAATCATAAATGTGTAGTGCATTACCATAGCAACAAAACAAATGTTTTCAAAGACGTATCATTGAAATAGTGAGTTTTAGTTAGAAGTTAAGTAATACATTATGTGTTAATCTGGGTGAGACTTAAATGAAATTAGATAGATAAATTCAGAGACTTAACATAATTGATCAGTGTTATAAGGATCAGAAGCGCAGTTGTGGAACAGGAGAAAAATTTTGGCTTCAAAAAAGAAGGGTTAAGAAAATTTTATATCAGAAATGGAGACAAATTAGGTTCATTGTAGGTTCAGTGACTAGAATTATTAGTAAGTGGATTATGGGATCTTCATAAGGCCTGTATTGATTAACTAGTCCAGTAAGCTGTATTTCGGTACAAAAGGTAACACAGTGTACAAGCAGTAGTAAAACATTTAACATCTGACATGATTTCATCAGTCTTTTAACATGAGTTTTCATTTTTACACAAATAAAGTGAAGAATAAGATCAACTTCTGCTTTGTATGTCTTACATTTTACTGTAGTTCATGTAAAATATGGTGCGCACCTCAGTTTGCACAAATGAGAAAAGTATAGTATTTATCTTTTGGTTTTTACTTAAAATAATTGTTCATAAAAATAAGATGATTTAGAAAAATTAAGTGACGTTATCCTCAGCTTTTCAAAAATTTATGATGCATTTCATAGTATTATTATCGAAACTTATATCTTTAACCCATGAGTTAAATTTGTAATTTACTATTTAGGTGCAATTTTCAATTCTCCTAATAAAATTGGAAGTTTAAAAGTTCTTTGAGTCCTGAGTACTTCAATTCTCTAGGTCATAAGGGAAAAAGATGAGATTTGTGTAGTGTGAAAAATAAGGAATTGAAAGCTAATTAAATGCTCAGAAACCTAGTTCAAATTTCATTGTTCCCATCCACAGACTTTTGAACAAACATACCATAAAATATTTAGTGGTGAAAGACATGCTTTATTCATTTGTAAATATGATAATCTTAGCGATCGTTTCTAAATATTTTCCAGAAATTTGGCGTTAAGATAACTGATACTTTCTTAAGCTCCTATGAGAAACAGTAGGTATTGTCTAACATTTCCACACTTCTTCAACTCTATTTGTTCAGAATGTTCAGACGTGAACTTGAAAACAGGTGTTTCAGCTAGATCTCTCTTCTCATATTCACCAGCTTCATACCAGTCAGTATCACTTTGCCTTGAAAGACTTCAAATACGAAGAGCATGTATGCAATAGAAGAAGACAAGAGATTCGGTAAAGGGCTTCCTTATTAGGGAAAAACACACCATATTTTTACATTATAGCCACATTAAAGTTCGGCCGGGTTGGCGATTTGCCGAAGGTTAAACCTCGAGGTTGAGAGCTGTTCAGTGAAAACTTTTCCCGGCCGCAACGTAAAATCAATCCAGACTTGTTGTGCAAACAATTTTACCGCTGCAGCTACTGACTGTAATTATTTTTTTCAAACTTGGCTGCTTCCTACCAATAATAATAATAATTTGCTTTATTCCAAAACAGTACTTGTGATACAGAATGGACTTCTCAGCATTTTTACTACAGTATTGCATCCAGTTAGTACATTATCAATAAAAAGAATTCTACATAGATCAAGGAAATCTCAGTTCATTATTACAACAATACATTGGCATGTCGGTAGCAAAGGTAAGGCTGAACGGTGTTTGAAGGTGTTAGAAAAGTAGGTGCTGTCATATTTACTGGCGTAAGCGGAAGAAAGAAACAAAGCAGCACATAACGGAAAAAAAGAGAGAAAAGGAAAAGAAAGAAAGAGGATGTTGTACCTATAAATGATATGAGTTGGTAAGATGAGGTTCAGTTGTACTACTGACTACTTAACGAATTATAGGTGTCACGCCTAATGCTTTCTTTATCGCACAGAACACGAGCTAAGTAGGGTATGGTTGAGTTTTTGTACTTGCTGGTGCAAGCATATAGTTTTCTATATTGGCTTCTGGTTTTGCCTGATGAGATGCAAGGGGAGAGTTGTGAGTGAAGAGGGTGGTGTGAGTTAGATAAAATGGATTTGGCCCATTTTTCACATGAGTCCATGTGCCTGTCGACCAGAATATTAACAAGCTGGTTAAGTGGCACGTTGCTTACCCTGCTGACAACCTTTAACATCCTGCATGATATGTTATAGTCTTTCTTCAGTAGCCCAGGAAAAACTAAGGGGGAACAATAGAGAATAATAGGCAGAATGCGAGAGTTAACGAATTGTAGGAGTAAGGGTTGGGTAATACCAGAATGTTTTAACTTCTTGATGTAGAAGGTAAGACGGAATATTTTCTTAGAAATCGTCAAGATATGAAACGACCAGGAGAGATCAACAGATAGAATGACACCTAGGTATTTAATTTCCGACTTGGTTTCTATTTCAGTGCCATCTGCGTCTATGTACTACTGATGTCTTGTCAGTAGCACATGTCACATGTATTCTTGTTATATATTTATTTCCAGTGGAGTACAATATTTCGACCAATTCTGCAACTTAAACAGATTGATGTGTAGCATGGGATTAAATTGGAATGCGTTTTACATGATTGGTGGAATTCTGTTATGTAAAGAACTGATGTTTTATTCCTGGGTTTCGCGGATTCGTTTCATTGAGCGAAATGTCTGGGAAGGCGGATTACAGATATTTAGAACGCCTTTTTGGAAGTTTCTACATTTAACGGAGATTTCCTTTCGAAATAAGGAAAGACTGACTGTATTTACAGGTCATACTGGTACTGCTATGAATAATGCAAATTTGTTGACTTACAACATATCTGCTAAATAAAAATAATACATTTTGAATGCTGACTTTCACTTTAAACTTTATTCTCAGAGAAAATAAGCATATCAGTTTTTATACAAGCGCATGAATGAATCAAATAATTTTGTTCTGGCTTTATTCCTTAACGTGATCTTAAGAATCAACTGGTCAGTTTCAGATAGTCATCATTCCAGAAAACATTTCTATCATGTTTGTGTAATTCACATGTTTAACATCCTACGGGTTCAATGATTGAAATTCGGAACTTCATCACTTACCAATATCTTATGAGAATTCTGTAAAATTAACTAGTTAATACACATCGAACGAAGTTGCTTGCATCAGCTTCTTGCAATCAAGCAAAAAACGCTGATATCTCAGATTTTTTTGTTTTCACCGACTAGATAGTGTAAGCAGACTTAAATAAAGGAAAATCATTAGGTAATTTATATTGATAAAACACACGGTGATGCATACTTACGAATGATATTTCGAGCACAATTTAATGCTTATAATCAGATCGTGACATATTGTATCATAAATTAGAAAAAAACTATCCAGTGAATGAACTGTACCCTATCATAGTGCCTAAGTTCTGTTCTTGTATTATGTTACGCCGTGTATTTAAGCTGTATTCAAAATAGTTTGTTAAGATATGAAAGGATTTGCTTTTTGTACTACCTAATAACCGTTACTTTTTGAATTTATACCAATATGCATATAACTGTTGGTTTGTCGTTATGAACAGAAGCTTTGCAAGCCCATAAAATCGTATACTGTTTCGGTTCAGTGGTCTATTTTTTCCAAATAAATAATTACGCCATGTTCTTATTAGATAATCGTGTCATGATTAAAGTAAACACAATAATTAATGAGTGACGTATGTAATAACAAGCAAAAGTTTCACGAATAAAAGCTATTTTATATGTGAAGAGGAAATAATATTTCCAATTAGGCGTAAATAATAAATAATCTACATTTTTTAAATGTAGTATTTATACTGGCTCAATTAATCTCATACCTTTTTAGTGGTTATTACTAAAAACCCATCCTTTGAGGTACTAAACCAGTCTTTCTGACGTTTTTTCCCCAGGTTCAAATATCTAATATTCTGCTCTCTGATTTGACCACTGGGGAATCTTAGAGCACCCCAATTTCGGCTAAGGAAAACGTGTCAAATATCATGGACTACAAAGAATCTTTGAGACATGGGGTAAACGAGATATTTCCTTGACGTAATCAATAAGTAATTTCTGAATTCCTCATCTCTCCAGGTCAGCGAAATAATACCTTGTGAAAGCAAATACCTGCGCAGGTCTTAGGTCTATAAGTAAAAGTGTTGCCTATTACTTATGACTCCACTTTAAAAAGTTGTATTTAATGAAAATAGCTTTCAAAGTAATAGTTCACTATGAAATAAACCCATCTTTCTTATATTCTTATGTAAATTATTATTGCAGATCTATTCCAGAATTTTCTGATGTTTACGCACCACCTATTAAATGAATCGCATATGACTATTACTCTCGTAAATGCTCCGCATAAATCTCTAATAATAACAGACATAAGTCTAACATCGCAATCCAAATTTCCGCCGCTGACTCAAACTTAGCTTTGTTAATTTTGGCTTATATGGTTATGATAGACGAAATATCCGAGTTATCAGCTAACAAGATAGCTTTCATTTAAATGTATCCATGATTGTATAGTAGACTACGAAATTAGAAATTGTTATTCTGTTCATCGTATGTTATATGCAAGAAACTAACTTTTATTCAGATTACAAATATCCAGACCATGTATGTTGCAAATTTCCTGGAATAAATTGAGTGAGGAGTTGAGTCAAATCATCATAAAATTACTTAAAATAATCCCAGCGTGTTTAGAAGCATTCAGAAAAATTTGATTTTGGTTATCTAAATACTCTGGGATTATTAGTAGTAATATTATGACAACATTTATTCGATTATGAAGACAAAGTGTTTTGACTATTTTTCCTTAGCATTATGTCTGCTGACGATGATTCTCCAAAAATGCCCATAAACATAACTTACGTTGCATGTCTGTAAACAGAGATAGGGACAAATAAATTTTATGATCACTCATCGAAATTACATCAAGTAATCTTTTATTGTATATGGGAACGTGAATTCTATAGTCTCAATCGGAACGACTACTGCACGCTACAGATACCACTGAAAATATATTAACCCTCCTATTCAAAGCTAACAAAAACAGTGAACAGATACATAGACAGGATAAAAGGATAATCAATTGTTGACATCATAAACAAGGGAAACAGAGACATAAAATATGGCCATGAATATATTTTTGTTCCCTCAGAAAGATTAAAACTGTACATTAGTACTCAGGTGAGACAGGTAGTAAATCATAGTGTCAATTCCACGATAACTTCCGACGAAATGACAAGTATCATTATATAAACGAATTTGTTTTGCTAATAAGCTGTAACCGACAAGGTATCACAGACACCACTGATGCACAAAAAGAACAACAGCTATTTAGTCTCAGGTAAGATTGCTTTGAGTATTCGTGTTAACATTCCTGGCATTGTAGAAACAAAATACAATACAATATCTAAACACTAATACTGGCTTAGGTAAAAAATCCTATTGGATATTGAAATTTAGCTATGTTCTATTGATGAAATAAATGTCAAAAAGTATAGAAGATCTTGTTATGAAATCATCTTATTGTCTCACGTTTCAGACCTTGCTGTATCTACTATGAATCTTTTAAGATTGATCCAGAATTTATGAATAGAAAAGGACTTATACTATCATTGACTTGCTGTTGAAGCTTGTAGGTGAAATATTTGAACTAGCAATAAATCCCCAAATTTACATTATTTCTTAGCATAATATGACTGAAGGCGTTACCTAAACTTATGGAAATATTTTTACCAGCAGATGGATCTGAAAACTAGATACTCAAACTAAATTACTTCAATAAAAGACCATGAATTATGTTCTAATCTCCGCAACATGGAATTCATCTGACGAACACACCGAAAACCAGGTAGATTTCATCTGAATCTCAAGGAAGTGGAGACGTGGCCTGCTGGACACAAATCAGGAAGGCAGGCGGATGTGTCCCCAGACCGTCATCTAGTTCAGGGAGTCTTCAAGGTGAAGCTGAAATCCCTCAAAACAACTGGAGACAGACCACAATTCAAGTCCAACACTCAGAAACTGAAGGACGAAACTACAAGGGATACCTTTGCTGCAGCCATCAGAGCAAAGTCGGAGACACTACATGGCGTCACTGAGGAAACCTGTGTGGAAGAACATTGGAACTCTCTGAAGGTGATGTTGAACGAAACATGTACAACTGTTCTAGGAAGAAGGAAGAGACACGACAAGGAATGGCTCTCAACCGACACCCACCTGGAAGTTAATCGAGGAGAGGAGGATGGTGACAGAGAAGATGACTCAATGCAAAGATGGACAATGAAAGGAGAAGCTGAGTTCAATGTACACTGCACTGAATAAAGGAGTGAAGAAGAGTGGTAGGAAAGACAAAAGACAAATCTACGACACACTGGCTGGTAACTGAAGCAGAACAGGCAGGTCGAAGGTGAAAGAGACCTCGAAACGTTATACCAGATATCGGCGTTTCTATCCAGAGAAATGACAACGCAGGTGAAACCTACAAAATATGTTCAAGGAAACCTGACTACCACCAAACAGAGCTGATCTTTTCAAAGAAATCTTGAATCGACCGACACCTGAAACTCGCCCAGAAATACCATCAACAGCCCCGACCGAAAGCTGCTACCTTGACGTGGTGGTCGTGCTTGAACACCGCAATGACCCAACAAGCTATACTGGCTGGAACTTATGTTCCTGCATGTCCTTCCATGCCAGAAAGGTTCTTTGGATAGCGGTTAGACTAAAAGCAGTTACCCAATCCAATCCTATGACTTCAAATAAATCACAAAATATCATGCCGGATCTGTCAGTGCCCGGATTAACAACGACCGCGCTTTCTGCTGCCGTGTCACAGGGCAGAAGTGATAAATACGCTACTGAGACACACCAAATGAAAAACAACAAACAAAAACAGGCCGTGTGTGACCGGCCTCAAGCAGTTGTCCCCTGGGCTCTGCGGACACGCAACCAACTTCCACGGTGTGGGCAGCCAGGAAGTAACATTCGCCCTCACAATCCGAAGTGCACATGGAACCTCTCTAATCCCCACTCACCTTTGTCTTCATCTTCATCTCTATTATCTTGCCTTCCTTCTACTAATGCAAATCCTCTACTCGATGGCCCTTCACTTCCTCTTTACTCTGTGTACACTAATAACGACGGAAGCCAAAAAGCCACCATCGATAGTCTCCTAAAGCCACGCCTCCAATTTCATATAGGAGCATTTAATGTTAGGACACTCTGTTAAATTGGACAACAAGCATCACTAGCCAAGACTCTGGCATCCCGAGCCATTGATGTATGTTGTGTTTAAGAAACACGCATACAAGACCCAAGTGTGGTTATTCACCTAACTCCACCTGGCCAACAGGATGAATCTGCAAAATTCACCTTGAGGGTGTCAGGAGATGCGACGGCTAGCTCACGAGGATTAGCTGGTGTTGGGATAGCTTTGAGTACCAGGGCAGAAAAGACATTACTTGACTGGATCCCGGTAGATAGCCGAATGTGTGCTGTCCGTCTGAACGGATCAGTGAAAAGGAGAAAGGACTGCACTACTCGCCGATGCCTCTTCGTAATCTCCGCCTACGCCCCCACTGACTGCAGTTCGGAGGAAACGAAGGATGAGTTCTACCAAAAGCTGTCTAGTTTGCTGCGAAAGGCTAAACGCTCAGATATAGTCGTTTTAGCTGGTGACTTTAATGCTCAAGTAGGGAAATTGTGTCAATCTGAGAAGAATGTCGGTGGCACATACGGAATTCCGTGCCAGCGAACCGACAACGGTGACCGTCTCCTACAGTTCTGTTCAGATAATCACTTGTTTCTTGTAAGCACTAACTTTAAACACAAGGAGAGACACTGTTTGACCTGGCAACCTCCATCATTAAACCAACGCTGGACACAAATGGACCACATAGCAATAAGCTATCGTTGGTGTGGGTCGGTAGGGGATTGTCGCTCCTTCTGGAACACGTGTGTAGATACCGATCACGCACTGGTCCGCGCTCGTGTGTGCTTACGACTGAACGGACGTAGGAAACAGCTAGCGGTAAACCCATCACGTCCCCAACTCGATCAGGAAACTAAGTCCCTATTTGAGGAAGAACTAGCTAAACAAATATCTGAGTTTGACAGCTGCCCTCACCCTGAAGAAGCCTGGAAGAATATTCAATCAGCCATAGATACAGCTGTAAAAGCTGTGAATAAGGTGAATCCAAAGGATTTCGACTGCCTCATCCGAACTGATAGATGCTAGAAGACTTATTCCGGCGAGCTCCGAATTCAATGAGGAGAGAAAGCTGCACAAAATGAAACTTACGAAAAGTCTCCGCAAGGACCGTGAACAGTGGTGGTTGACAAAGGCGAAACAGATAGAAAAAGCATCGGCGATAGGCAACACTAGGCAACTCTTTAGACTCATCAGGGAAACGGGTGGGAGAAGGCAAATCATAAGTGAGACTATTTCTGAGAAAAATGGCTCCTTAATTAGCTCTCAGGATAGACGCCTCGAACGCTGGAAAGAACACTTCGAGGAACAATTTAACTTGCCTACAGCCACACTGAGCCTCCCCGCCATCCAGCACACACCCGATTGGGATATAGACACTGGCCCGCCGTCTGTAAGTGAGTTCACCAAAGCTATCTGTAATTTGAAACGAGGCAAAGCGGCAGGACCCGACGGAATTATTCCGGAGGTGTTTAAATATGGGGGTGACACACTAGTATATAGTTTAACTAAGGTACTAGGTAACGTCTGGGAATCAGAGACGGCTCCATCAGACTGGGGTAAGTCACTTATTATACCAGTATTCAAGAAGGGAGACAAGTCCTCATGTGACATTCATAGAGGAATCAGCCTAACGAACGTAGTGTCTAAAATCCTAGCCTCAGTAATCATGAACAGACTAAGCCGAACTCAGGAGGAACAAACAAGGGAAAATCAAGAGGGCTTTAGGCCAGGTAGAGGGTGCATAGATCATATCTTCGCTCTCCAACAGATCCTAGAACATAGACACACTTTTAGGCGTCCAACAATTGCCATATTTCTTGACTTGAAGGCGGCCTTCGACTCCGTGGATCGAGAGGTTCTATGGCAATGTTTGACTATGAAGGGAGTGCCAAGAAAGTACATTGCACTAATCAAGGCACTCTACTCAAACTCACGTAGCTGTGTAAGGGCTTATGGGGAATTGTCATCTGAATTGATAACAACCAGTGGTGTCCGTCAAGGATGTCCACTTTCCCCATTTCTGTTTAACTTCATCATAGATATGCTAATAGAAGTATCATTAACTGAACTTAACGACTTAGGAATCGACTTGTTACCAGGGAATAGTCTTATAGACTTAGAATACGCAGACGACATAGTCCTGTTAGGGGAGGACGCTGACAAAATGCAGAGTCTTCTGAACACCTTGAGCAGCAATCTTCGTATGTTTGGCATGCGATTCGCCCCTGTGAAATGTAAGATGCTGCTACAGGACTGGACTACGTCAACTCCTAGCTTAGTGATAGGGAGTGAAGTGATAGAACATGTTGACCAATTCACCTATTTGGGAAGTTGTATCAGCACCAACGGATTGATTGGTGACGAAATCACAGCACGGATCCAGAAAGCTCGGGCTGCTTTCGCTAACTTACACCGTCTCTGGCGTAGGCGTGACATCCGGCTGTCAACCAAGGGACGTGCATACTGCTCAGCAGTTCGCTCCGTCCTTCTCTATGGCGGTGAGACGTGGCCATTGAGAGCGGAAGACATGAAGAGATTGTCTGTTTTTGACCACAGATGTTTCCGATCTCTTTCTCGCGTTAGGTGGTATAATAAGGTAAGTAATGTTGACGTTAGGCGTAGAGTGTTGGGCAAAGAGGGAAAATCACTCGAAGAGGCTATGAAGTTACATAGATTGAGATGATTAGGTCACGTGCTGCGCAAGCCTAGCCATCGCCTTCCCCGACGAGCACTACTAGCTGATATAGGTGCCGGTTGGAAAAGAGTAATTGATGGCCAAACAAAAACCTGGCATCAATCCATGAAATTCCTGACAGTTAAACTGAGTCAGGTAGGGAGATGCAGACTTCCGGGTTGGGGCCCTCGGGACTCTAAGAATCAATGGCTGGAGACACTAGGTGACATGGCTCAAAATCGTTGTCAATGGCGCAGATGTATTCAGTCTCTGTAATCATTCATATTCCTTTCTACCATTACTCATTCTGTGTCACTCTTATACTTGTCAAAACTCTATTGATTCCCTTCTCTCATTTTCCTGTCTACATTTGTGTGCTATTTGGAACGTGGCAACTCTAACTGCTGCACTTCGTTGCGACGTTCTATGTTGAATCCAGCAACCAGCAGCAGCAGCAACCATCAACAGCATACACGCAACTGCCAGTAGACACAAATCCTCCAACAAAAGCTGAAATCTCGAGTGCAATCAAGCTACTGAAGTCCGAGAAGGCAGCAGGACCAGGCAGAATTCCCCCGAAGCACTGAAAACGGACCAAGAGACTGCGTCAAATTTGCCCACGCCATTATTGCAAAACGTTTGGAAGTAAGGAAAGGCACCTACTGGTTAGAAGAAAGACTAGCTTGCCAAACTACCAAAGAAGGGCGACTGAGGCCTCTGCTAAAATTGGTGCGCAATTGTGCTCTTCTCCACGCCAAGCAAGACACTAAGTCGCGTCATTCCGAAGAGAGTAAGAGATGCACTGAATGCAGAACTCCGCCCACCGGAAGAAGCTGGGTTCAGGAAAGGCAAATCATGTGCTGATCGAATCGCAACTCTACACATCTTCATTGAACGTAGCATAGAATGGCAGTCAAACCTCTGCCTCGACAACTTCATCGACTTCGAAAAGGCCTTCGACAGCGTTGACCGAGAAGTAATTTGGAAACCAGTTCAACACTACGGCGTGCAGTGCCCAAATCTTTACCAACCTCAGTCAACAGTTGTCTGTATGACGGTGCCACGTGTCAGATGATCCACAATGGAAAACTCAGCGAGGCGTTCGAAGTGAGTACAGGAATGAGACAAGGCTGTCAATGATATTCCTGATTGTGGTGGACTGGATCATTCGTCAGATTGTGGGGAGTGAGAAGACAGGAATACGTTGTACTGACAAGAAGACTCCAGAAGATCTGCATTTCGCAGACCATTTATGTCTGACGTCACACAAACTCGAAGACCTGCAGGCGAAATCCAACAAACTGGCAGAACAGGCAGGCAGCGAAGACAGGACTGTAGGCGAATATAGAGAATTCGCAGGTGATGAAGATAACCAACGAACAGCGACAACAACAACCAGCACCAATCACCATCAATGGGATAGATTTGACGGAGGTTACTTCCTTCGCGTATCTAGGAAGTATTGTTTCAACAACAGGCAGCCAGAACTGATGAAGATGTTAACACCAGTGTCAGTAAATCAAGTCCTTTTGGATAACGGCTACGTTATACAAAATACGTCAATGGAGTAGAAACTGAAATAAGGCTAAATAAGTAAATTGAATTACTCAATGTAACTGAGGAGATTGAGTTGAACTCAACTAAATTTTTGTATATATATTTATGTATACAGTAGTGTAGCTTGATAATACATTTGCTAGAAAAAGGTCTCTTTACCGAATCATGTTTTTCTTTTCCCACTATGGATATGACATCCTTTTTCATTTGTTTTAAGGTTTTATATGCTTATATAGACTTCGCGTCTTCACTTACTCAGATTTTTCTTGTTATTCTGGAGTTTTAGCTAAACATTACGGCATAACACTTAAATGTATCTACTTTGTCTTACAAAATGAGACTCTGTAACCAGAAGCCATCTTCGTGGAAGTAGTTTTCAGTCATCATGAGGATTATTGAACCTGACTTCTTAGAAGATTGCAATTAACAAAAGGAAGTAACGGACAAATCGTTTTCGTGTTAAACGATGGACCAATATTTTCCAACACATTCGGTTTTCAGCTCATGATGAAATTCTCCGATCATTCGGTCAATGACAGAAGTTAATGGGCTTGAAAATCGCACTGAAGTATGGGTAAAATATTTAAAACATGTTTACAAACGGAATGGTACAAATAGAACTGTAAACAAATTTTTCACTTTTTAGTGAATTCACACTTTCAACAACAATGCATACTAATTATCCTGTATGGAAATTCTTTAAGACTATTGAGCGTGAACGTAATTCGATGCCCTACAAAACTTGATGATAATGACAGGTTATTCATAATGAAGTTATTTGTGCTTCTAAGAATCTGATGTTCACTTAGCCCTAATTATAAATTAATTCTTTCTTTCTCCGAAATATCACGGCGCATCTTTTTTATTTCAGATTCAAAGAAAGTCAAAATGAACTTTACGTTAATGAAGGTGATAATTTAATATTTATTTGTCCACGAAACCGCACATTTTCTCAAAATATTTTCTGGGTAAGTTTTCGGAGGATTTATTTAAAAACATATTCTCTATTAGACTCATGAAAATATATACAAGTCTACAGAATGATAAGGTTTTATTATTTACTATAAAGTAAAACTAATAAAATATGAAATAACAGAGATTATACTATTTTGAAGCGTGTTTTTGGAAAAACTAAATTCATATAGAAGCATATTATTGAAGCAAATCATTCGAGCCTCCCCCTCTACTTAGAATAAAGTTACTCTTCAAAAACATCCATAGCTTTTCTAGATGAAAATTTGTATATTTAACGTTTTCACTGTCGACGGAATATGTCATACTTAGAAAACGTAAGTAACTACTTGTAAGTTAAATACGTGCACAATTTAGGACTTACTTCACAAGAAACACATGTGTTAAAGATGCAACATCGCAGAAGTGATATAAAATTTTCTTTAATTAGTTCCTTTCCTATGAGTCACAATGTTTTAAGTAAATCACAAGTGTGTGATATCTAGACTAAACCATTAGCTTAGGGAAAGCGTTTGAATTTATTTACCTTAACTTCTCTAGAGCAATGTTCTCAAAATATCGATTGGTAACCAATGAATATAACAGAATGGTATATGATGGTGGTGTTTGTTCATAAGCACGTCACTTTATCAGATAATTTCCTAGGACACCGTTCATTAGTCGCACTCAGTTCGTATCTCAGATACAAAAAATGACATTTATACACCAAACGGATATGTCCTTACGGTAGCAAAATAAATATTTCAAAAGAAATCTTTTATTTAAGTTATCGTGTTCTATTAACTTCCTGTTCATTTCCTATTGAAACAGTCTACATTGTTTAAGCTATCTGCATAGTTTTATTTATACTAATGTTGAAATGATCAGATACGATTTCTTTCTTACTTTTCTGATGAAAAGTAAAGTATACACGGTTTTATTTAACATAATGTTACCGTCTTAATTATTTGAACAACCAGGAAGATAAGTGTCTATAGCACCTAGAATACTGGTTTAGACAACTTAGGGTTCACAAAATTAAATGACGATACAGTAACTTTTCTATTTGTCACAAAACTAAAGACAATAAGTCAAATGTGCAACTGAAAGACATAAGATTATACAAACTCATCAATATTTGACTCTATATTATTTGAAAGTGTGAGAAAATAAGCATGAACACAGCTATGCTTTAAAATTTTCTAATAATAATAACGGCTTTGTTCTAAACAGTACTTTTAGTACAAATATGGAATTTTCAGCATGCATACAATACTGCATTTAATTTCCTCATCACATAAAATAGGGGTAATAACTAGGTTGGGCATTTACATTGATATTGTTAAATAATAATATCAGTATAAAATTAGAAATCAGGTGAAAATATTAACAGCAATATAATAATGAAAGGAAGAATAAAAATTACCGCTTACTTAGTGGTTCGCAGTAAGTTAGTAGTGTCATGCCTTATACTTTCCTCATCACATGAAATATGTGCCTGATAAAGTATTGTAGAGATTTTATATTTAGTCGTCCTAGCATAAAGTTGCTTTTAGTCCTACCTGATGAGATGCACGGAGAGAGTTGTGTGTACAGAGGATGCTCAGGGTTCAACAGGATAATATTCGCCGGTTTCCTGCATGAGCCCATGCATCTATCCACAACAGTATTAACAAGTTGGTTTAGCGGTACCCCACTCTCCCCACTGACAGCTTCTACTTCCCTACTCAGTGTTACAAAGTCTTTCTTAAGTAGCCCAGGGAAGATTAAAGTGGGGAGCAATGAAGACGAATAGGTAGAATACAAGAATTAACAGACTTAGAAAGTAGAGACTGTGTGATGCCCGGTTGGATTAACTTCCTTACCTAGAATGTTAACCAAAATATCGTCCTAGAAACTAGCATGATCTGGGAAGATCAGTAAAGATCAGAGGAAATACACAATACAATGTATTCCACATTCCACTCAGTTTCAACTTTGGTGCCATCTATAAAAGTAGGATCATGCAAACAAACCATTTTGTGTAAGTCTCACTTGCATCTGAAGGTGAAATTAAAAACTGACATTTATAAGGATTTTGCTTAATACCACTTGACATGAACCACTGACAGATTTCTAATAAAACGCTATTCATTTCGGAACAATCTGATTAAGAAGTCAGATCATCAGCAAACCTAACAAAATTGACTTCATCAGAATGATGCAAGTCATATGAGAAAATGGAAAAGGAAAGAGAACGACACCTTAACGAACACCAGCTAGAGTAAGTAAAGCGGTGGAGAACTTCCCATTGTAAATAGTGTACTACTCTCTATCAGAAAAGTAAGAACACAAACATTTATTAATCCAGCACTCTGCTTGTGTCGCAGCAAGCTAGTTCAACAAAAGGGGCCTAGGTACACAGTCAAAGGCAGATGTGTGAAGTCAAAGAAGGCACACCAAACATGTTTGGCAACTGTGTCTATGTTAGAGACAATATCATGATGATAGACAACGGTGGCATATAAATTACATTTACTATTTTCATACACAAATTGTTTAGGGTCATTAAAAGTTTTGAATGAGGGTTCAAGTTTAGGTAAATAGTTCCTCCATTATTTTTAAGAATAGTGAGGTGATATCAATAGGCCTAGACTAAATACTTGATTCACTCGGTGATTTGGGCACAGGAACAATTTAAAATCCTTCCAAGAAACAGGCACAATCTTAGTCGAAAACGATTCAGTGAAAATGTTAGTGGGAGGATAACATGAGATGTCTTCATATTATTTGAGGATAATAGCAGGTACACCATCTGGACCAAGAGACTGGGTAGGTTTCAAGGATTGGAGGCACCTTAGGAAGTTATTTGCAATAATACCAGAAAAGCAATCATTCTTTACACTTGTAGCATTAGAAGTCATAACAACTGCTGAAATCGCCAAACTTCAACATTTACCTTGAGCATAGGAGAAAACTCTGATACTCAGCTTTCTAAATATGAGAAACGCAACGAAATATTACCCTAATACCCCGAAATGATAACTCCCATGCTTTTTTCTTAATTTATCTATTTATGAAGTCTGTGGGCTTTAATTTCACAGTGAATATAAAGAATTTACGGGTTACAAAACTTGTGTCTGATTTTGGTATGTGACTTGTAGTTTGTTTATTTTCTGAATCATTAAAAACGCTTATTAATTACATCTAAGACATATACGAAATACCCACGATATTAGATAAGTCTCATTATTTCAATCTGAGAGTGATAATACAAATGATTAAACCAATTGTTGTTACGTATAAATAGAACCTCAGTGTAGACGTAAAACCAGTTCATATTCATTACCTCTTTATTTCCAGTTTATATGGCATCACCCTGAACTTCATTGTATAACTCCACATAATACTGATGCACTAACAAATATAGTCTAGTGAGTCATAGGAGTCATTAATTACAAGCACGAGAAGTAATGTAGATAACATTTTTGGCACCACTTTCTCAATATTCAGCAAAGCAGTTGTGATAATCAAAAGCCATTCACTTTTGAAATGAAATACTACTAGATCCGAAAAATATCTTTACCTGTGAAATTTTCAATTACATTTTTCAGATAGTACAATTATAGTTAGAATTGTGCATAGCTCAAATAATTCAGAGTTTTATACCAGTTTTTGTCGCTCAAAAGCATGATACTTATCTGCATTTAAATTAAATTTTTATAAGTCTTATGCACATTGCACTCATTCAGTTAATTTATGTAGTGATACACAATATTCATGAAGTCGTTAGTTTTCATATTTTATGAGAAAATTTAGAATGAGTACGTTTTTTCTCACAGACTGACGATCCTCGTGTACTAATGAAATGCAATGAAACTCTGCCTATTAAGGTTATCAAGCTTTTGGATTGTTTTGGCAATGATTCAATCAGGGACTTCGTGCTCAAGGTTAGTCAATTCCCGGAAATAGCATCACTGCCAAGTTTTCATTACGACACTCCAGTGCATTTTGTGGGTGAGTTTAATACTTTGAATGATCCACTTTTTTGTCACCAAGTTAATTAAAGTCACGTTTTTTACTATTATTGCATAACATTTCGACATGTGTTTGACCTACGTTTTCACTGCCATTCTCTTACACACAACCACAGCGATTAAATCTCATTGAATATTGAATGTTTTCAGCTCAACAGTTTGGTATTACTAATTAGGAAATTCTATGACAACTAAGTGATATATGTCAGTACAAATTAACACTACTTCAGAACAGAAATCTTTCCACACAAACCAAAAAGTGTATAATAACATAATCAAAAGTAAATTAAGTAGTGAAGTAATAGACATATCTAACCATCTGCAAACATTCGAAAACCATTAATTTCGTAGTGTAAGTCATTTTTGGCTGTTAGCGGTTTAGATAAAACTGCTGTCAGAGTTTAAATAGTACTTGAAAATGTTAAATTATTTAAAAATATTTTATTAACTATTAGATATTACTAAGTGTATGCAAACGTGTTGAATTAAACAATCAACGGTTTCATGAAAGTGCAACATATGGAATAATAACTGCCTTACAGTTACTTATTGATCGTACATGATACTCTCGATTATATAGAATTAACAATAAGTTCATATCTTGGTCATATATCATATATCTAAAAAATTCCAGCACACAAGAACTAACTACATCACTGACAACTTTAACTTCAGGTAAATAGCTTGGATTTTTGAAGCATTACTTCTCTCAAGAAAACCTTTTAGGAATAAGATGCCATGGTGATATTTATACAGGTTCTTTCGTGAAACAAAAAGTACGTACAAAATGATTAGTTTGACTATATTATGAAAAACATATGCTTGCCCACATGATAAATGGCTAGAATAATTTTCCGTAATAGTAAGTTAATCAAATTTAGAAAAATAAGTTATTTCCATCCTAAACTTCATACTCTACATAATAATTTCATCCCACACAGTATCGTACAGTATCTAGATTAGTGAGCGTATTATTTCTTTGTATTCTCCAAGACAACAGCCAAGTGCTCAGTGCGTCTCAGAATGTGAACGATTAAAAGAACGCGCATATGAAAATGACTTATGCAGCGTTCGTATAATCTACAAAGATATAATTTCATTGAAACCGTTTTGACCGGAGTGACCTTCGCTTATTTTCATTTAATGTTACAAAATTGACTTTGTTTGCAATCATTAATATTAAATTTTGTATATTTTATTATTCCTATTACTCTCCCTTTCAGCTTTTATTGACCTTTTCTTATATATTTATTATAGCTCAATCTGTTATTTGTCACAATAACAACTTCCGTCTCAGCGTCAGACTGTCTCCTCCTACTATTACAGGTGTTGGTGATAGACCCAGTAATCATTTTCAGCCTAAGATAAGATCTCGACTCTTTAATTATTCTAGAAAATGTAAGTTAATATTCATTAAAAGCTAATTGTTGACTTATCATTCTTCTATCTTCATCAGCATTTTCAACAAGTGATTTTGATTTGTAAATCCAAACACAGTCCTTGAGTTTATTCACTAAATTATTCTATACTAATATCAGGTCGTTGAACGATAGACCCTTTTGTTAACATAAGACCATTTCAGAAAGAGGTTCTTACTGCAAAAGCTTTTTATTACCTTAAATTTATTACGTTTTATGGTTGCCACCTGAAAGGCAGACTAATTGGTTGAGATCTCCCAAGATCACCAGTTAACAACTCAACAGCATGTATATAAAACTGTAAAATGATTTTTATTTCAGTAAAATGTGTCGGCTTATTGGACTGTTTATAAATTAAGATATTATAATTGAGTTAGAATGCCTTTTGGGGAGCAACTAGAAATATAAGAAGCATACCAGTAGTTATCGGAAGCTACTAAAGGTATGTTTATAGTTAATTAGCTTCTTTATAGAAAATTTCTCGAAATTAATATTTACTTACGTGGTGGTGCAGTGACGTTTTAAGATAATCTCCACAGATCATGTACTTTTACTAAGAATTTATATCTGTCATCCATGGATAATATAAGCTAAGTGAATAAAGTTTATTTCTCCTCCGGAAGTCTGTTTACACTTTCATGCATTAAATTTTTTTAAATCGAATGTTTACCACTGGAAAGTTTATTTGTTTATCAAATCACAGGTAAAAACCTAAGCAATTTCTTTGATACCTTCGGATAAATTACTTTTAACATGACATCTTTTTAGGTAAGGAAAGATGCTGAAATATGCTTCAAATAATAAGAAGTAGAAAATCTTTTATTCCCTAGTACTTTCATAGATTCGTAAGTTATTTCTACACCGTTCTTACTGGAAACATTATCAATAACTCTATTGTTCTTTCCAAATTATTTAGCATCTTCAAACTTAAACAGTGCACTTTATGACCAAATACAAAATGAACAAGAAGGTTGGAAGCAAAATCTGTCGTCGTCAACATATCGAACTCCTAGAAGCAATGGTAAAGAAAGATGGGCTTGGACTGAGTACAGATTTTTACTTTTACCAGCCACCTTAGCATTTTTTACACTTGTTGGTATGCAAATTGTTCTATGCGGATTTTGGTTGTCAAGTTCATTTACAAATAAATTTCAAAATTGTTTTAATAAATCCAAGCACATAAAGAGACCACAACCTGGCTCAAATCACAAAGAGACCGAGAACGAATTGCAAAGTCCCTTTTTTTATACACCCGGATATATTCCTGATGGCGAAAAATGCTTATGCTGGAGTGTGGCATCATTAACAAACAGTTCTAGTGTGATATACACAATGAAAAACAACTATTCCAATTCCACACATTTTAATTATCGTAGTCAGTCAAGTAATTATGATCATCACAACCATTATTGTTGTAATAACTATCAAAGTCAAAATTATCAGTATCAGCAGCGTCCACTACTCCTCAAGTATTCAGCTAAAAACTTTGGGTTTGATAAATTTCCTGCCACACAAATCATTCCAGACACATTGACTGTTTTATCAAATCATTTTTGCGAAATACCTGATGTCAGATTCTGCAGTAATCAAAAGCAGACGGTAACACAACCAGCTTATACAATTTTGGAATTTGACAATATGTGCGAAAAAGTATTTTAGAACCGCTAAGATAAGAACTGAATCCGTTTTTATATGTATTTAATGGTTTCAGTGTTGTAAAATTTTTCTTTCCTCAAATAAAAATACATATCTGTTAGATTTATTAAGAAAACTAATATAATTCAGATTGATACAAGTCCTATTCCTAAGCTGTGGTTCTGTAGTATAGTCAAACAACAAGATAATTTGAACATAATTCCAATTATTTAATTTCTATTTATTCATATCACGTGACATAAGTTATTTGTTCACTGCAAATGAAAAAATGACAAGCATATGCTTTACCGAAATATGTGTGTTACTGCACATATGATGTATTCGTTTTACACTATATTGTTCACTTTTTATTTTCAAAAGACTAATACAACATATATTACGATATAAATGGTTTACTTTGCATTTTACCAATACATGAACAACTTTTTCTTATCTTTACTCGTCAATTATTATCAATGGGTTCTTGTTATATGTAAGTCAGATATTAGGTATGTTTCAGTGAAATTTTTCTTCAGATGTTTATGTGTTTTACAAAAACCACTAAGCATTCTCAGCAGTATCTTCAGACATACTTAATTTGTAGAAAGAATTAGTTATACTCAAGAAAAAACAGTCGTCATAAGAAGACTGAAAAATAATACCTCTTAACTTTATTGGTAACAAAGTAGATTGTTCTTTAACAGAGTTCATACCTTTCCTGTGATCACATTTTGTGCAGTGGAGCGTTGAACAAGTAAATATCAAAACCAGACAGTGATGCCTACACATTTAACTGAATACATATGCAGATATACAAAATGCCTCAAAACAGTATTTTCCATTAAATTACTTCTCTCAACATTTTTAAAGTCAGACTCATTCTTCATGTGCTTAAACAATTTGCATAAAATAGTCAGCTAATTATTTCATCCTTAAATAGGTTACAGTATATTTAATTATGTCCGTAGCATTTCCCCCCTTTGTTCGCTTAGTATTTCTTACTGTACTTTGTGCTATCCGATTGCTACTATGATAGGAATAATAAAAGTACCGATGGCAAATATAAAACTTGCGTCTAAAACTTGTGCAACTAAAATAAAATTACTGATGATTCAGTTTTTCGAAGTAAGACACACATCATTCCGTGGTAAAAACTAATCAACCGCTGAAAACTAGTGAACCAATAATCCGAGACTTTATGTATTATTTATCTTGGTACGTGACCAGATGTTTATTTGATAGTTGAGTAAATATTATCAAACAAAAAATAGGGATGAAACTTGAAATTTTCCATCGTTTGATTTCAGTGCTTGGTCTGTATCAGTATATCGAATACTAGTGCAGAGAGCTTGATAATTTTTTTAGATCACCTTAGTGTTGTGCAGACCTCAGCTGGAAAAATTGACACTTGCCTGGATCCAGATGTATTCAGCTAATGATTCTCAAATAAGATAAGACACGCCCTGAATCCCGTGGCCAGTCACCACCAGTTAAGTAATTAACATTGTCTCCACATATTATTCAACATAAGGCACACAGTTATGAACAGTTTCGAATAAATGAACGTTTGATACGTATCCATTTTTATTGTGTTTTTTTCTATTAAGTCATCTTAAGGAGAACATTATAATGTGTAACATTTAATGAAAATATCAACGTACAAACTGTTAATAATAATAATAATCTACTTTATTACAGAAACAGTACTTGTAATACAGAATGGAGTTCTCAGGATTTGTCACAATATTGCATCTGGTTTACTGAAAATATAAATAAAATTATAACAAAATTAACCAGAGGGATTTGTCCACATTTACGGTATAAAGTCAAAAATATCTGAAGTACAAAATAAGAATAATAAATATAACAATAATAATAACAGTGATTTTGTTCCAAACAGTACTGTCAATTCAGTTCGGAAATTTTAGCATGTTATAGATTATTGAATCTAATGTTCTGTTGAAATAGTATAGGGAAGGGATAGACAGAATTAACAGTTATAACAAAACTTAAATGATGTTTACACTTTTGAGAAAATAAACAAATAAAAACAATAAATTGCGAGTATACAACTTGGCCACTGTGGTAGAGTCAACTCCATTATAGATAAGATTTTATAACATTGCGTGATCTTTCAAAATAAAATCTTATCTATAATGGAAAAATTGCGATGATTATAAAAATAAGAAGAGCAATAACAATAAAGCTTGATATTATAAGGGTGGAGAAAATGGTTTATTTACTAGTACAAAGAAAGTTAGTTAGTTCATGCCTGACACTATTTTCATCTCATAAAATACGTGCCAAATATGGTATAGTGGAATTTTTATACTTAGACGTACGTGAATAAAGTCATCTGAAATGACCTCTTGTTTTATCTGAGAAGACACAAAGTTGGAGCTGCGGGTAAAGTGGATACTCACATTCTGACAAAATTCCTTTAGCAAATTTGTTGCATGAAATCAAGTGCCTATCAATGACGATGTCAACGATATGGACAAATGGGATACCACTCGCCTTACTGGCAGTCTTCAGTAATCAACATATTAACTTGAACAAAGTGACTCAGTTAGACATAAGAATTTTTGAGTCATGCCGGTTACCACTCATTGTTTGAGCATTTCACCACGAACAACTTAGATATATACATCAAATGGGGTGCTAAAACCACTCGTTTCCCAAAGATGTGACAAAAGCCATAAGTCTATCCTCAAGACTATACAAAATGTAAGCTCAACTATTAATCTGCAAAGTATATGCATCATATTTTGCGTTAAATGTTAACCCAATGAAAAATGAACTAATCGTTAAATTTTATTTACAGCTATATTTTCGTGACAAATGGTTCACTTAATTTCTTTTATTATAGAATGAATAAAAAAGTTGAGTAGGCATATACTTTACGTTCCATGAGTTCACTCAAGAATCAACATCAAGAGAAAATTTTATTCTATTTTCATTCCTTTGTATGGTTATTTACGTAAAAACAAATAATTACTGATACCATTTACACAACCGGTGACCCAGTTGATAATGCATTGTCATTTCAAACGATGGATGCTGTGTCCGTCTCATTGGAGACTACATCACTCAATGGGATGCATATACATTAAGTTGACGATATGCACTGTGTGAGGCGAATTATATTTCACTGTACTTTGCGGACTACGAATCTGGTTTTCTTCCACCTTATCGCCAGCGCAGCAGATAAACATACAAGTGTCGTTATACCTACCTAACATATTTCATACTCCTGTTGCTAGAGCTCCTTGTTTATACTGGAAAGCTGCTTTTTCTTTTAAATCCGTAAGAAATAAAATGTACAACTTTGCATAATACGATGATCAGTGTTTCAACATATTCTAGCAGAATTTAAATTTTTTTAATTTTATTATTTTTTTTATTCCTTCACGTTCCGAGTAGAACATAGGGCTTCAAGCTGGAGGCTTGAAGTTTCTGTAGCAGTGTTATTTTTACAGGATGCGGTTGCTAGCCTCATTCCCAACCTTTCCTCTTAACCAGCTTTATTTCTGTTTTAGCGAGGAAAAGGAGTGCGTCGGCAACAAAGGATAACAATTTATTTCCATGAAGACTGTGATAATCTTGATTTAAACAACATTTAAATTAAAATTAAGTCAGAAGTGCCTACATTTTAAACCAGTATGTGAGTTGATCATACCCAAGCTTTAGCATTTTGGAACTTATTTCTTCTTTGAATTCACCTTTCACCAGCGATTATATTTCTATTAGCTTCAAAAGCCGAAATTAGGTACAATCGTTTCTTTTAAATAACACTTTGTTTGTGTCCCTGTGACAAACAACTTTTGAAAAGGATGAAGAATTCTCGGTACATGTTTTCAGTATATTATTCAAAAATAAATGTTGAACACAGTTCAAGTAAAGGATGGCTACAAATTTACATTTCGCAATTGCTTATCATTATGAAAAGTCAATAAACTGGAGTTTCCTTATAGTCAATACTTGTTATGTTGATATTTTTTACTTTGCAGCAGTTTAGCAGATTACAATTATCTTCAAAAGACTAAGTAACCTCCACTAAACACTTCTGAAATGCAAGAACGAGATATAGTTTCTTCAAGACTTTAATAACAGTGAAATATATAGTTTGTTGAAATAAGTTCAAATTAAAATCACTAAAATAATATCTCATAAAAACAGTCTAAGTAAACAACTGATATTCATAAGAGTAATCTTTATTCGTAAATGTGATGCAAAACAAGCAACACCTGCTCATTGGGTGGAAGTGAATTTAGTGTACGCATATATGTTCAAAAACATATCAAGATACATTGCAAAAATATGAAATTTGAAAAAGGTATTCTTTTTTGGAATATGGTGCATCCTATATGAAAAGAGACGAATTAACTTAAATTAACTTAAAATAAGTAAGCTTTGTCCTTAATATCTGAATATTCCATAATACTGCATCACAGTGAATAAGTTGTTCTGCATATCCAGGATAGTATCATACACTGTAATCATTTACTTATTAGAATGGGTAAATATTCAAAAAGAAATTCAGAAGTGATAAAAAGTTATTTTGCGAGACTATCTAGTATACTCATGGATTGGCAGACTTTGCTACTGATTCACAGTAAAAATAACCTAGGCAAACACAGCTCGAGTTCAGATATCTATTTCAAGTTTTAATCCAACTTTTTATATGATGACCACTTTAAATCGAATGGGTGATAACTCTAGGTGAAACCGGCGACTACCTATTGTCTAACCCTGAGATTTACCAGCACTGCTTTGAGACCAACCTACCAATCACGTTATCTTTTTTTCAGGCGTTAAATTGCATAGACTCGACTGGTTATAAGTCTTGTCAGGAGGAGACATCAGTTACAGATCCACTAAAAATCAGGAATTACTGGTCGTCCATTTCGTCCTACTTTGGGACTCTTCAGGAGTAAACGTCCACTGGGTTTTGAACCCAGGACCTTCTGATCACAAGGCGACCTCTTAGACCCCTTAAACACTGGGGCCCGGTCCGATGGTCAGTGAATTCGAACTTCTGACAGTTCGCGATAAATAGTGCAACCACCGGCTAATGTCATCGGAAAGTAACTGCCCTTCTGCCTGACTTTATGGATCCTGCCTGTCACGACTTTTCACTTCTGATATTCTCTAACTGATGTAAGGTCGTTGCACAAATAAATTTGGTACTGACTAACAGCTAGCTCAATACAGGAGGTTACCTGTCGTTTTAGTGGGAAGTTGTAGCCAGTGCGGTCCACGAAGTCAGGAAAGATAACAGTTACTCACTGAGGACATTGGCTGGTGGTTGCGCTGTGTATCACTAAGTGGCGGAAGCTGGAATTCGTGGACTATTGGTTCGGGTCCCAGTGCTAGAATGGCTTACGAGCTCGCCTTATAACCAGAACGTTTGGAATGAGCGAACCGGCAATCCTGATGTCCCAGGTGTAT